CTGAAAAGATACAGGAACTTCCCAGTGGCATCTCTCTGGCCTTGACTCTTCCAGCAGGTGGTAATGTTGAACGAACCATTTCAGCCTGCATGCCTTCTGCCTGCTCCCCCGTTCGAAAGTGGTCTGAACAAAATAAAGACAAAAAGCATATCCAGGAGAGAAGCTCAAACCCGGCCAGTTCTTTACTTTGCTGATCTTCTGCTTGCAGGGATATTATCTTAAACACAGAGCTGTGCTTATAAATAAAGGGAGAAAAGAGAAGGCTGTTCCTTTAGTTCTGTTGAGAGAGTAGGTGCTGTTTTTGGCTCTCCCTCAACTTCTCACCTAACAGCCAAACAACGATCACCGCGCCCGTTGTCACAAACAGTCTGTAATAAAAAATGGTGTTCTTGCTTATTTTCTTCCACTCTACTCATCCCTTTTGTACTGTATTTTATAGACAGGGGGCAGGGACTGTCTTCCTTCTGTACTGATCCCGTGCAAATGCTTTCAGGGCCCGTTTGGTTGAAAAGCCAAGTAAAAATATTTTATATAAACAAAATTAAGTACACGCAGTTTTGAATACTGTGCCTCTCTCCAAGTGTAACCTGCCACCTGATGTGGAGCAGATCATTTTATGACCGTGTTCTGTATACAGTCGTGCCTTGTTTTACAATTGCCCCGCATTACGACGAAACTGCATCACGATGGTCTAAATGGGTTTTTTTTCGCTTTACAATGTCTAAATGGTTTTTTTCGCTTTGCAATGATTGGTTCCCTGCTTCAGGAAAAGATTCTTCGCAAAATGACGATTTTAAAACAGCTGATCAGCAAACAAAATGGCTCCCCACTGTTTTCTGAGATGGATTCCTCGCAAGATGGGCAGTGAAAACGGCTGCCCTATGGAGGATCTTCACTGGATGGTGAGTTTTGACCCCATTGGAATGCACTGAAGGGGTTTCAATGCATTTCAATGGGTTTTTTTCGCTTTACGATGTTTTCGCTTAACTACGATTTTCCTGGAACAGATTATTGTCGTTAAGCGAGGCACCACTGTATCACAATTCAGGCTTCAGTCACAAAGTGCCATGGGCATCAGTATACTCCTGCAGTTGCCAAGAAGTGCAGGGAAGTAGGGTAACCCACATCTGATTTCATGATCTGAGCCTACAGACTGGGATTTAGGTTCTGATAAAGTGGGCTTCTAAAGATGTTGTTGGCCTACACCTCTGAGCAGCCTAGTCAACATAGCCAAAGGGGAAGAATGCTGGGAGCACTGGCAGATCTGCATTAAAAACTTTAACTATTGTGAGGGCCCCTTCACAACCAGCAACAAGGTCTGGGTAACCACTATTATCACCTTCAATGGGCTGTTCCATGACACCACATTTTATAAAAGCGGGCTAAAGGCACGTCCGGGCCCCCTCTGGGACTAGGGGACCTGAAGGTATTATCACCTTCAATGGGGCTGTTCCATGACAGATTACCACATTTTATAAAAGCGGCTAAAGTCACGTCTGGGCCCCCTCTGGGACTAGGGGACCTGAAGCTTAAGCTTCATTAGTTTCACAACAGATCTACTCCTGGCTGGGAGTTACAATCCAGCATTATTTGGGAAGCTGCACTTTTCCCACCCTTGCTACAGGCAGTCGTCTGTACATGGAGTTATCCACTGTGTTGTACTGGTATAGCTGAAACACATAATGGATCTATAAACACAGAAATATGTCTGGGTATCAATTAAAGGGAATTCCAGTGTTGGAAACATGGGACCTGTTCCAACAGAGCATCTAAGGAAGGAGGGAAGGGAGGATCCAACTTAAAGAAGGCTAGAGAAGGAAGACCGATTCCAGTCCTGCAAAGCTGCTATTTGGCATTATTCAAGTATATGGATGTCCAGCTAGCATGACATAATGAAAAGTACCTGAACAAAATGGAAGCAGACTCATCTTACACTGTTTGATAGATGGACGAATTGGTCAATGAAAAAAGGCGAATAGAAGGCATGTATTGGCCTTACTTCATTGTAGCTTAATGTTTTGTTTTGTTTTTTAAAAGGACAGGCAAAATACATGGAGAACCAGTGTCTAGCAGTTATTAGATATATTACATTTAAATGTATATATTTAAATGTAATATATCTAATAACTACTCACATAGTTTCAGATATACAGGACAAAGAAAACGTTGCTTTCACCCTCCATCTTTATGATATCCAAAAGTATCTCACTACCTGCAGCTGATGTTTGACTCAAAGAGTACTTGACTGATCCAGCAGCATATTTCCTATTTTCTCATCCCAGCATGGCTTCATTCTGAACAAACATCAACCAGTTGCTGCTTTGGCTTATGCTTAGGGGCATGGCAATACAAGGAGCTAATGTGTGTTGTGGGAAGGGAAAGGAATCGGGAAGTATGGTGCATGGGGAAAGTTACTTTTTTGGACTACAGTTCCCAATAGAGCCAGTGTAACTACAGTTTCCCCATCTCTGTTCCCATCTCTGTAAATAATGTCCTTTGTGATTATCTCAAAAGACCTAGAGTCTAGAATTTTTGCTGTTTCTATTAGCTTTGAGTTAATGACCCTTTCTTGAGTGGATCTATAGAACACAGAATCATATTATTTTAACATGTGGGCTGCCTTCATCTCCTCTTCCTATGGTCAAATTCCAAGACACTGGAATATTCCTAACGGTATTTTTTAATCCAAATTTCTACTAAAAATGATCAGGGTTCTTTCTCCACCTACATCTTGCATATACTAACATCAGGAGGGCTAAACTCTGATTCTAAGTCATATTACATATTTCTGAGGCATCTGCTCTGTTGCTGCTCCAAGTCTATTCCTAACAGTATTTTTAATCCAAATTTCTACTAAAAATAATCAAGGTTCTTTCTCTACCTACATCTTGCATATACTAACATCAGGAGGGCTAAACTCTGATTCTAAGTCATATTACATATTTCTGAGGCATCTGCTCTGTTGCTGCTCCAAGTTTTTCTGGTGTAAGTTAGCTTGGTTCCACCTTCATAAGTCAGATATTAATTTTAGAAAGTCACTTTATAGTTCAATTAGTAAAAAGGAGGAAACTTCTTCCATTTATATTTCTACAAGGAAGGCAATACTTTAAAAAGTATGTGCATGTAATTGTCAGATTTTATGATTGTAGATAATTTAAATTATAGCAATGACTTCTGAAGACTCTAAATCTATGATTCCCCCCTAAAAGACTTATTCATTTCATAGAGCCCTACAAAGCAAGGCACAATCATACAAAAATTGCAAATATTGTCATTCACTCAATGACTTTGTTCTATATAGGTCTGTCTATCAATATATAAATATATTAACATATGTACACAAAGTCAGATGTCTGAGCTTTCATAATATAACAGGGCACAACAGTAAAATAGTTAAGAACCCCTTGGAATGAATTCAGAACCCTTGGAAGAAAGAGTATAAGGTCTGTTTTTTTGGTGGTAGGTTTTTTGTTTTAAAGTTTAGAAAAGCAAGGAAAGGTACAGAAAATGACAGAGACCTATAAAAATATGCATGGTATAGCAGAAATGGGTTAGATGTTTTTTCTCCATCTCTTATAATAGTAGAGTCCAGGGTTATCCGATAAAGCTGCAAGTGGAAGATTCAGGATAGCCAAGGCCAGTTTCACAAAACATACAGATAGCTTTAAAAGTTTGCAGCTTTAAAAGGAGAGAACAATAGATTCATAGAAGATATGGCTAATGATACTCATGGCTATACTGAGGGTGACTGGATGAAAAAGTGGAAGGAGTTCAAGGAAAGTTTGGCAGGTATAGCTTATATTGGTTGTTGCGATACTTCTGTGAGTTAAGTATCTGGCTCTGGAGCCAGAGGCTGGGAGTTCAGTTCCCCCACTGTGCATTCCAGAACAGCCAGCCTGGGTGGCCTTGTGCAAACTGCACCGTCCCAGGATGCCTCCCAAAGAAGAGAATGGTAAACTATTTTCTGCCTAGAAAACCCCAAAAAGGGTCGCCATCAGTCAGAATTGAATTGAATTGACAGCACACAATTAACACTGGCTGGATAGCTCAGTGGTTTAAGTATCTGGCTGCAGAGCCAGAGGTTCGGAGTTGAATTCTCCAATGCACCTCCAGGAAGAAAAGCCAGCCTATGTAGGCTTGGTCAAACTGCACAGTCCCAGGGTACCCCCCCAGAAGAAAGGAATGGCAAACCACTTCTGAGTACTCGCTACCTGGAAGACTCTGGAAAGGGTCGCCGTACGACAAAATTGACTTGACGACACACAATTATTATTATAACTTATATTAAAAGCTGCACTTGCTGAAATTTCCTTTTTTGTTCAACTATTAATTGAACATAAAAGAAGCCTGCCTTCTTTTGCATATGGCCACCCTCTCTTTAGTATCAGAGCTTCGTTGCTTGAGAACATGAGCAGGGACGTGCTATTGCCCTTCCACAGACCTATCTGGCTGGCTATTACAGGGGGGGAAAAACGCTGGCCTTGAAAACCTTTGGTCACATCCAGCACATTCTTTTTTTATGTTCTTAATCAGGCTTTGCCCTGGAGTTGAGTCACAGAAATCATGAATCACTAATAAAACTGGTTTGATTTGGATCTATTCACACACAGTCTGGATTGAAGCAGAAAGGCCAGATTCTGTTCCAGAGCAAAATGAAACAAATAGGGCTGTGCTAGGATTCCAATTCTGAAGCTTCCTGAGTGAAATTAGAGGTTCACTACGAAGACTCCAAATTGCACGTACATTGGTGCAAAGACAAGGAAGTTACAGCCACTTTGCTTTTCCAATGCAAGTCAATGGGAGATTTATAAACCGATTCAAATTCAGGACAGAAGGTGAAATGGATGAGGTACAAATTGCTCTGGACCCGATCAGGATCTATTCCAAAGCCCAAAGTGGTGTACAAATTGGACTAGGGAACCTCTGTGCGGCTTGATCCAGCTCTTCTCCTCTGTCTTCCTGAAGAAACGGATTTAGGGTTGCATAAACAGGGAGGAAAATCAAGCTGCTATCCTTTATTAATCTGACTCACTCACAGAGATCAAAGGGTACTGCCAACAAGCTGAGGAAGGAGCAACAAGCAGTAGACAAGGATCCAGAGGAAAACAATGAAGTAAAAGAGTTCAGGTTGCTCTGTCCGTGAAGAGGTGCTATGGGGAGTAGTTTTTTCCGGGACTTCTTTCTTTTCAGTGTCTTTCCTTTTCCTACAAAGAATGAAAGAAAGAGATTGCAAGTGGACCGGTTATTAGAGTTTGATTCCCAAGTGCCCTTCCTGAAGAGGTTAAATGTGTGGGCATTATGGATGATTTTAATCTCCGGTTCCACCTCATTGTGGAATATCTTCCTAAAGAAGACACACACCTGACACCTCTGCTACCATTCTTTCTGTTCCCTGGCAAACTGATCCTACCTATCTGGGCTTCTAGTAGCAAATGTAATCATTTAACTGAAATTTATTGCAACGTGCGCTTTGCTTCTCTGTTTCACTGCTTGATTTGGTCTGCAGATGGGTTTACTGTTTGCAGAAAAAGTTAATTGTTTCTTTCATCTACTATTCTTCCACAGTGGGGTCTTCTGTTTGGCTGTTTGCCCTCTGTAATGACCATCTTTATCTACAGTCCTATACACACAAAAATGTTTTTACATCTCCTTCTGTGTTTGGCTGAAAAAACAGTGATAAATACATAAATAAATAATGCAGAGCATCAAAACATGGGACAACTACTGCTGTTTACAGGATATATTATTAGCGTACGTGGTGTTTCATGGAGGAAACAAAAAGGCAAGGTGCTGTCCTGGTGAACCTACAATCCAAATTAACAGTTGGTGTTTGTGCGTTGTGCATGCAACTTGTGTGCATATACACACATAACAGGAAGGGAGAGAACAAGAAGGCAAGAGAAACATGGAATGTTGTTATTGTTAAGGCGTGTTCTCTGGTTCTCAGGCTATATTGCAATCAAGTCTAAGTTCTCACTAAAACAACTGCATATTATGCTCACCCTTGCTTTTTCTTAAACTCCTTGTTTTCCCTACCTTGAATTTTAGATTGTAAGCACTTTGGGGCAGGAACCTTGTATTCTGTAAAGCATGATGCACACAAATAAGGCTCCACAAGAGCACTGTTGTCATCATCATCATCATGCACAATGTCAAAGTTTGCAAACAAAGTTGTGTCTTCAGGGCAGGCTTCACTTGAGGGTGAGAACCTACAGGGATTAAGCAGCTGTATGTTCGGAAAAGAACTGTTTTGCACCATCAGGAGTTCTGAACTGAATGGAAGCACAGCAATATCTAAAAAATGTTGCAGTAGGTTACCAGCATCATGAATTTCGGTTAGTTGCCACTTCATTTTGTGCATGACGTATGTGCATTGAACAACTGTACTGGCCATCAGCTTTGGTGATTATTGTCCCCACGTGTCACACAACTGCCCACCTTTGTTGTTTTATGAGAAGCACAGGTAGGTATAGCTGTTTCTAAGGAAGACAGCTGTAGATCAACTCTTGGGATTGGGCTGAAAGACTTCCTGGTTGCGTTGTGGGTGCTAGCCAATCAGCACCATCCACAGTTACCGTATTTTTCGCTCCATAAGACGCACCTTTCCATAAGACGCACCAATTTTTTAGGAGAAGAAAACAGGAAAATATAAACTGTTTTCTTCGCTCCATAAGACGCACAGACTTTCCACCCCCGTTTTGTGGGGGAAAAGTGCGTCTTATGTTGTGAAAAATACGGTAACTTTTCCTCATCCAGACCTTAGCTTTGGAAAGAGCAAGCTACATTTGTACTGAAATGTGGCGAATGAGGCTTCCCAACAAGCCAAATCTTGTCATCCATCTAAGGCTCAAAATACAAAAAGGAATGCAGAATACCTACCTGACAGAACTTGTGCTTTCATTTGTGGCCGTGTTGTTCTGTACATCAGTACCATTGCTTTCCTGTTAATGTGTAAGTACATAATGAGTGACTTGCACTGTGAAATATCCAACACAGCAAATATTTCCCATCTATATATCCCATTAGGTCAATCTGTTCCCATCTATACTGCTCAACCTCTGTCATGAAGCTGAGGACTGCATGGGCATTTCATTTTCCAAGGCATTACAAAACACATACATCAAAATGGGTGTTGAGACTTCCCTCTGGAAGTGCACCATTTATACAGACTTCAAACGGAGCACTGAACATCTGTCCTGCTATTGTGAAAGGTCTTACTTGGTCACTTCCAAAGCCATTCAAATGTGATGTGATGTTTTTCTAGGCATTTCCTAATTAGTAGGTGCCAATGCTTCCGAGACCTCTTGCTAATTGTTAAGTTTCTTTGTGGGAAATGCTGCAAAGGAAGATATTTTCGTGACCAATCACTCCTGTCTGGAACGAGCGTGAACTTCCTGCAATTAACCCTCCAGCAGACAGAAGAAAGCAAGGCACAAGGGACCTAAACAGCTTCGGTTTCTCTGCAGTCAGTTTACCAAAATTGGCCACATTCTGAGGATAAAAGGGGGCCTTTACAGTCTTACTGCATCACTGACATCCACCAACACTACCAGCAACCCCAGGAGAAAACAAGCGTTGAAATAATAGCAAAGACGGACCCCTGAAGTCTTGGCAATGATCTTTAAATGTTATCTTGGACCAAACTGTCACTTGCCACTTCTTTGGCTTAAAAGAAAAATCAAAAATACAAAACTACTTCTGTCCTGAAATAAGCCCAGGAGGTCCTTAAATAGCCTTTAACAATAATCTTGCACCATCAACTTAATTCTGATTTACGGCAACCTTTTTCAGGGTTTTCTAGACTGAGAGTACTCGGAAGTGGTTTACCATCCCCTTCTTCACGGGAGGGCGCCCTGAGACTGTGTGCAGCTTGCCCAAGGCCACCCAGGCTAGCTCTACTCACAGGAGCCACAGTGGGGAATTGAACTCCCAACTTCCAGCTCTGCTTTTAAAGGGCAAATAATCTTCCCATACTTTCTGAGGTAATATTTGCTTTTTCCCCTTGTCCGGGCAGGGGGAGAGCTGGAAGAGGTTCAGGGAACTGCATTTGGGGTGATGAGGGCCATATGTGACCCAGAGACTTCATTTTGTCAAATGCAGTACAGTATCCACATTTCCATTATATAAAATTATCATCAACGAAGCTGGTACATTTGACCTCCATTGACAAGACCAAGATAGAAAATTTCCCTGCACCATCAGCTTGCACTGCTGGGTGCTTTTTCTAAGAGGTTCAAATCCCAATCATCCCAATCCTCTGGGACCCATTGTCCAAAATTGCCCCCCCCCTTTTTGGCGTTGGGGGACATGGTTTGCCATTTCTATGAAATGTAATTCCCCCCACAACTGTTCCAGTCTAGAAAAAGCCTTTTTTAAAACATGAAGTGACTGGCCAATTATTTCTATCTTAAGGCCTTCAAATAGGTTGGGCCTTAGCAAAATGACACAAAAATGGCAAACGGTGTCTTTCAGAAGATTCTGGGAGGGAACTTGTGGGGAGGAGATTAGGAGGCATCCAGGAGTCACATGCAACTCATGACCCAAACATTGCTCAAGTTTTAGCTCCAAATGGGGCATTGGTTAATCCAGCCCTAACAGTCTGAAAATAAGACAAGTTCTCCTCTCTGACTACCAAGGTGGCCGCTCTGTGGCCCTCTAGAGATGTTGCTGGAGAGCACGGGCAACAGTGTGGGGTGTTAGAGGCTGCACTCCAACAACCCCTGGAGGACCATGTGCTCCCCATTCCTGTTCTGTATCCGGAGCTGCACTGGGCAGCATCCTCAGCCACATCCAAAGTTTCACCCTGTGAAGGGCCAAGCGAGATGCAACAGCAGTCATGTATAACGGCCCTTGAACAATTGCTGTTTGCTTACTTACTAAATACCGCTGCAAGGAGAGGCAAGAAATTAGGACTAAGTGAATACTGTACTAGAGGGAAAGAGGATTTAATGCTGCGTCCCCACTGGGATCCTAGTCCAGACTGCTCCCCTCTCTCTAGCAGTGGAGGGCACCCATTAGGCCAAATGATGCACTGCCTCACTGCAGATCCAGACTGCTTCCAGCCAGCTCACACCTGCATGCTTCCTTTTGTCCGATGAATACGTGAATACTTGCTTGCCCGACTGCTTGGATGAGTGGATAAGAGTGTATGTCTCTCTGTGTGCAGGTGCACATGAAGATCTACATCCACCCCTGGTTTTGCAGGTCACCTCTGGCTCGAACCGCTATCACACCTGCTGTGTATTCTACCCTAGCAACCACCATGCGCACCAGCCACCACGGGTTTCTGGCTGCTATTTACTGAACAAAACCAAGTATGCAGAGGCAAAACATATGCTTAACTTATGAGACAAACAGACAGACATGTGGAACGACTTTCTAGACCTGGGCAAAGTGCGGCCCTCTAGATGTTCCTGAACTGCAAATCCCAACATTCCTCACTGTGTGGGCTAGGCCCAAATCTCCTCACTATTGGCTGTGTGAGACCATCCCATACCCATTTACTTGGGAATAAGTAATTTGGGGGGGGGGAAATATTAGAAGTTGCTTTTTTGACCACCAGGAAAATATAATCAAATATGACATTTAAAATCATGTAAAAAATCCAATTAAAAATAATAAAGGCAGAACCATGTTGTACAATTTATCATATTACACCAAAAATCACTTGCTTGCCCAAACATTCATTCATTCATTCATTCATTCTACTGCCCATCTGAAGAGTTGTCACTCTGGGCAGTTGCAACGCAATAAAACACAGACCAAATATAACAAAGTGCTCCAAATAAACTAACTTAAATTAAATAACAAGGATTTAAACAAACTAAAAACAGACAACAATAAATATAAAAATGCTGATACTCTCACGGATCTTGAGTTGCCTGAGTCTAGGCTTGCCAGACGTCCGGCAAAAGGAGGACATGTCCTACTTTTCAGGATCATGTCCTTCATCTGGCAGACAAAACTAAAAAACCTTAAAATGTCCGGCTTTTGTATCTCCACCCCCACCCCCTGCAGCCAAACCTCTCCCTGTTACTTCCTTGGTTGCGGCCCTTGTAAATCCTCCAGGTCTTTCAGAGAGATCAGATCGGAGAGAGATAAGGTGGCTTGATTGTTTAGGGCTGTTCCAGCCCCGAGCAATCAATCCCCGCCTTGTGGATGGCTGCTTCTGCCTGGAGCTGAATAAGGCAGGAAGGTGCGAGAGAAATGGATGGAAATAGACAGGAGTGAAGTGAGTGCACTTGCTTGCTTGCTGGAGGGGAGGCTGTTCTGGGGTTTGGAGGGAGTGGCCGTTCAAAGCCAGGCAAATGGGTCCAGTCCGGTCGCTCCTTCCTCCTAAAAGCCAGGGAACAGGAGGCACTTTTATCCCCCCTTCTGCCCTGCCCCCCAACCCTGGGGCATGTGCAGAGTGCATTTCCAGGTCCAGGAGCATATGCACAGTTATCCCTCATGCTTGTGGGAGCTAGAACACACACACACACACAAAAAAGCGGATTTATCTCAGCTTGAGAAATTGCAAAGGGTGGAGAATATGGCTGTGTGTGTGTATGTGTGTGTGTCTGTGTCAGTGTCTGCAAATCCATTTTCTCCATCCTTTGCATTTCTCAAGTTGAGAGACATCCACGCCTTCTGTTTTTTTTCTTATGGTTTTTATAAAGTGTCTCAAATCTGTCACACAACTTTTTAAACTTTTCATTTCACTTTATTATGCTTCTATTAAAATAAAAAAAACCAATAAATAAAACAAGGGGGATGGGTCTCCATTAAAGGAAGGAATAGACTGTCTCCATTGGTCCTGGGAGCCCAGTAAGTGTATATGTAGATTTGTTTTGTTTTAATTTTTTAAAACATTTTTAAAACAAGAAAATACAGTGGCCAGTGGATTCTGAGTTTTGTAGTCCAAAAAATATAACTTTCCCAGTCTTACCCTTTCAAGACTGAGTAGGTTGAATGGTTATGGTATTGCCCCATGATCAAAGAGCTA